TGCTGAACTGCTAAGAAACATCCGAATGGAAGGAAGTCCTCTCCTCCTCCCAGCCATGCACAGGAGCCCTCTCGGTCTCGAAATGACCCCAGGCCCTGGAGTCACTGCAGTAGCTTTGGCACGTCACTCTCCCATCCTCATCAGGCACATCCCCAGCACGGAGCCACGTGGACTCTTTCCTGCTGGCGCGCAAGGTTGTGTCGAAAGTGCAAATGCAGGTGTCCACCCTGGTCTTTTAGTAGCAATTAACCTTTGCTCCTGGGTTTCCTTTGAAGCTTGCTCATGTTTTTATTGTAAAATAGCGATGAAGAATTTTATGGAGGCTAATATCTAAGCTTCCACATTGCCTAATCTCATCTGTTCCCTTATCAGGGGCCTCAATTTCATTTCATCCCGTTTCTGGTGGGGATAATTACTGGACTTTAAGAAGCCATCTTGAATTTCAAAACGGCGGTGCTATCTGTGTAAATGATTTGCAGTTCATGGGGAAAATGATGCTTACCAGCACAGTCCCTGGGTCTAATTCTAACCTCACAAAGATTTTCTATCAGTTAATATCCCACGGTTTTGCTGGAAGTGCCTCTGATCCATGTGAGTGTAAATTTTAAGGAGAATAGTCCCACACCCTTTGAAAATGAAGATCAGATCCTGGTTCGTGGACACTGATTTTTATACAGCTCCTTCTATCGTTAATTTCACAAATATGTCTTAATGGTCTTCCCGTCTCTTGGTCAGTCGTAATTCAACTTCTTGTTTATTTTGAGGTTTTAACATATATTTTTGTTAGAATACGTTGCTATTTCAGGCAGAATAATATTTCAGTAATCCGTTTTACCCGCACTGTTAGGGCTTTGGGGCATATAGGCGTATTATATTTTCCAGAGCTTTCAAAATGAAAGACCGTGTTTAACGACGACATCGGGTGTGGCTGCTGGAAATCACAGGAGGCACAATAGACCCAGCAAACGGACTTGTCTCCGTGCCAGGCTTCCAGAGGCCAATTTATCAGCTGCAGGTTTGACCCTATATGGCTAAAAACGAGTGTAGCCAGAATGACTGAGATAAGTATAACTGAGGCCTTTGAGTCTGCGAGAGAGAAATTAAACTGGACTGTCCCTGGGGGAGAAGAAACATCTGCAAAGCCGTGCTTGCTAATTGTTTAAGGCTCAGCTTGTGCCGGCTTGTGGGCAGGCGCTGCTGGCAAGTGGGGCTGAGGAAGGTGGCCCTTTGGGGAAAGGCACAGAACGGGCCACTACTTGCTGTGACTTAAAAGATCTGGCTGAGCTGCTTCGTTGTTCGATGCAGGAGAGTCGAGTGTGGCCATGGGGCACAGGGAGAGCCTTGGTTTTATGGGGCACTGCTTGGTGGGATGGGGACAACAGCAGTGAGCATATGAAATAGGCTTTTTAAGAAGTTTGAGTGTCAGGCACCTAGCTGTCATGGAAAATCAGTAGGATTTAGATGCCTGAAGTTTTTAAAGCCCCCCCTTCCAGTGAGCCATGTGCTTATCATCATCCAGATCACTTTCCCTGTGCGATTTCTCTTCCTGCACCCCATGTGTATACATGGGTTAGGGTTTTTTGCCTCTGTTTCAAAAACAGCTGAAGTCTTTTAGGCAGGACTGTAATCTAAACAGTTGGGGGAAGACATCTGAATGGGAGCGAGCCTGCCCTGGGTGGACGCAGCATCGCTGCCGGCCCACGAAAGCAGGGAGTGCGTTGGAGTTTTGGGGATGCTCAGGAGGTATGGACCAACCTCTCTTGTCTGTCCCACCGTGCTGGGGTAGAGCCATGTTTGGGGGCAGCAGCAACGCTGCGACATAACAGAGATGACTGCTAATATGGTCGTTTCAGTGCAGGGTGAAACGAATGGTGACATCCAGGTGGAGCTGTGGCCCTATGTTTTTCGTGTCTTCTTCCTTGTTCCTTGGAGTCCAGGTTGAGTTTTGCTGTGGGTCACCCCTGGGCAGGAAAGTACGGGTACGGGCTCGTAGGTGCTGGGCACAGAGCAAGCTCTCTGCACCACTGCTTTTGTGAGCCCTTGAGCATCTTTGCCAAACTTGGCACCGCTAAGCTATGACAGGCAGGATTTCTGAAGCACAAGCGATGGAAAATCCCTCTGTGTGTCCTTCTCAGCTAAATGGTACAGTCAGGATTTTCTACTTCTCAGAGTGCCAGGTATTAGAAAAGTGACAAACTAATCAATATTGGGTTCGATCGTTAAAGTGCAGGGAGAGCCTGCCAAACCAGAGGCTGAGGGAATGGGTAGCTGAACTTTCTTGTGACATGTATGAGGTCATAGCCAGTGCCACATAAAAGAAAGAAAAACAGTTCATGGCTGTGAAGAAATTGCTCACAGATGAAGAATCCAGTTTGCCAGTCATGTGATGGGAGCAATCTATTCAAATGATTTGTTATGTCCCAGTGTTTGTCTTAGGCAGTACCAGAAGCATGAAAGTACAGATATAAAACTGTGAGATAGTATGTAACAAAGATGTGAGAGATAATGGGCTATGACCAGTTTCCAGTGGAAAAGGCATACGGTGCTAATCTACCATGGAGAGTTTCTTAAATGAGCAAGAAATTGAAAGAACATTTTAAAGTTTCCTGTTTCTCCACTGAAACGGGGTCGTTTTGAACGCCAAGCCCAGCGTAACACTTTAATTTCTGGGCCAGCCATATTATGCAAATATCCTCATGCTCAGATCTTAAATACCTGATCTCTCAACTTCATTCCTTGGAGAATAGATTTCTCGCCTCCTATTTGGGTTAGAATTAAATGGAATGAGTTCTGGTGTGCAGGAAAAGTACAGTAACATTAATAAAGTTAAATGAGTGTAAATAAGTTTTTTGGTAGTTTGTCTTTTTGCTCCTTCTGCGTGTAGTATTGGGTTGAGTACTGTATTGCTGGTGCAGCTAAAGCCCCGGCTGAAGTCACTCAGAGTCTTTTGATGAAAAGGAATTTACAATCAGCCTTACATTTTGAGCTGTCAAAAATAGTGAGTTTTTCTTTTTTCTTTTTTTTTTTTTTTTTTTTTTTTTTTGTGGCAAACCCCGAGAAGAAGGTTTTTTTTTTTGGGTAGCTGAACTTTCTTGTGACATGTATGAGGTCATAGCCAGTGCCACATAAAAGAAAGAAAAACAGTTCATGGCTGTGAAGAAATTGCTCACAGATGAAGAATCCAGTTTGCCAGTCATGTGATGGGAGCAATCTATTCAAATGATTTGTTATGTCCCAGTGTTTGTCTTAGGCAGTACCAGAAGCATGAAAGTACAGATATAAAACTGTGAGATAGTATGTAACAAAGATGTGAGAGATAATGGGCTATGACCAGTTTCCAGTGGAAAAGGCATACGGTGCTAATCTACCATGGAGAGTTTCTTAAATGAGCAAGAAATTGAAAGAACATTTTAAAGTTTCCTGTTTCTCCACTGAAACGGGGTCGTTTTGAACGCCAAGCCCAGCGTAACACTTTAATTTCTGGGCCAGCCATATTATGCAAATATCCTCATGCTCAGATCTTAAATACCTGATCTCTCAACTTCATTCCTTGGAGAATAGATTTCTCGCCTCCTATTTGGGTTAGAATTAAATGGAATGAGTTCTGGTGTGCAGGAAAAGTACAGTAACATTAATAAAGTTAAATGAGTGTAAATAAGTTTTTTGGTAGTTTGTCTTTTTGCTCCTTCTGCGTGTAGTATTGGGTTGAGTACTGTATTGCTGGTGCAGCTAAAGCCCCGGCTGAAGTCACTCAGAGTCTTTTGATGAAAAGGAATTTACAATCAGCCTTACATTTTTAGCTGTCAAAAATAGTGAGTTTTTTTTTTTTTTTTTTTTTTTTTTTTTCTTTTTGTTTGCTGGCTAAGCCCCAGAGACGAAGTTGTTTTTTTTTTTGTGTGTGTGTGTGTTTTGGATCTGGCCCAGGGTTTTTTTGCAAATGTAAGAGGAGAAGGTTCATGTTCTCTATAAGGTGCTGTTTGGATCCTGAACTTATTTTAGACCATTGTGTTTCTTGGAGATCAATGGTAAGACACTGATTTACATCAGCTGAAGTTCTTGCCAAGAGTTGTGTGGTAGGCTGGATCCTTTCCTCCAAAGACTAATTGGAGGCCATCAAACTTAATTTTGGCTACTTTAGGTTCAATCTGTCTCTCTGAAAGACCAGCAAAGCTTTCCTGCTTTTCACTTCGCTTAGATTTCAGTTGTAACATATAATGCTGGCTTTCAATTGTAATTTCAAAGAGCTTGCAATGCAAAGCGCTATATCCGGATAATAGGGTGTGCCTGCATATACATCTGTATGTAATTCCCTCACTTGTGTTCAATGATGTAAACCACTTTTGATGTCAGGAATATTGAGCAAAACACTGTGTACCCTCAGGCCTACAGTAGGGAAGAGGCTCAGCTCCTTCCAGGGTGAGGCTCTGCTGCAGGCCTAGTGATTGATGAAGGTGCCACCTGCCTACCAAACTGTCCTCTCCATTTCATGTGCAGGCTGAAAGGGTTTCAGGTGCAAAATCTGTGAGGATATTTTCAAACCCTACTGTTTGGCTTTATTTTCCAGGTGATGAATGTTTGTATGAAAGCTTTCCTGAACTTCCTTTGGAGGAAACACCAGAAGCTGATGGAGAGGCTGCAAACATCCAGTGTTCAACATCCACCAACATTCAAGAGCCATCTTCTCCAGCAACCTCCAATGAAGCTTTCACGCCAAAGGAGAGCTCTCCTTACAAGGCTCCAATATATATTCCTGATGACATTCCCATTCCTTCAGAGTTTGAGCTCCGAGAATCCAACATTCCTGGAGCAGGATTAGGGATATGGACCAAAAGGAAGATTGAAGCAGGGGAAAAGTTTGGCCCTTTTGTAGGAGAGCAGCGGCCACACCTTAAAGATCCCAGTTACGGTTGGGAGGTAAGACACTTTACATTCTTTCGGTCTGTTGAACACTGTTGCGTGTCTATAAACACAGAAATATTTGTAGAATTTGAGTCCTATCCTGCAGTAGGCAGGGGATATCGTGTGCATGAAGACTGCTTTGTGGCCTTTTGGGCCTTTCTGTGTGGAAACAAGTGTAAATTAAAAAAAAAAAAAAGGCAGGAATTATAGTTGCTCTTCATGCGTGAAATCGGGTAGATATTGGCAGGTGATGTCTCTTTTGGGGAAGGAAAGGAAGAAGTTGCGTTGTTGGAACGTTTCTGTACCATTTTTAGTCTGCTCTTGTGCAGTTCTGCAGTATGTCTGTGGGTGAGGGATTTGCAAATGACACTGCACTATATTTGAAAAGAAACTGTGTGCTGCTTTCAGGGGTGTGCATCGCCACTTTCTGTCGACAATGGTTAGAATGGCCCTAAAATCTAGCATTGTGTGGCTAAAATTGCTATTGCAGAACCTTGTGCTGCTCTGGGGGTTTGATCCTGGTTCCATTTAACTTAACGGGAATTTTGCCATTCATTCGGAGAAAGCATGTTTGGATGCTGGTGTCAAACCTAGCACACATGGGGATGATGTGGCTCATGTTACTTCTGCAGATGCTCTGAGAAATGTTGCTTTTCTTGAAGGAGCTCAAGGGCCCCTTTGGTGAGTTGTTGCCTCTTGCTTTCCCTGCCTTTGGGGGCAATGTGTTCTCCTCGCTGTGATATCACCGTGGAGCTGGCCGAGTTGCAGGTCCATGGTCAGGTCAGGGTTTTAGACTTCAAGTGGTGCACATTGCCAGTTGTGTCGTGGTGTAACAAATGTTCTTGCATGGTTTTATTCATAGTTTTAACAATATGCTGTAGAAACAGAGTGCAATCTCGGCTTTCCATCTGTACGTTTCCTTTGGTTTCTGATAAGGGGAGAAGTGCAGAGTTTGCACGACTAACCTCTGGAGAGCTGGGAGGTTCATTTTCCCAGGAAAAATGGAGTTTCACTGTGGAGCAGAGCCTTGCGGATATGGTGGAAAATAGAGGTTTGATTTGCTCTTAACTGTTCATAAATACTCAGTGAATTCATTCCAAAGTTTCCATCCAGTTGTTTAAACTCTGGTGAGACCTGTGACAATGCGACAGAACAGTGTCAGGAGAAATTATAGACTTGGCAGCACTCTATTGTGTTAACAGTCCCTGATGCAATATAATTGCTGGTGAGAAATCTTTATTATTTGAAAAAGGCACCAGGAAGCCATAAAATCTGACTTTTAACCATGCCACAATTAAGCTCAGATATTGATAACAGAAACTGGAGCAAAACTGCTGAGACACAGCTGTACTTGCAGTTTTAACATGTGCCAAAATTAGGGGTTTTTTAGGGTATTCCTCAGGTGGTATAGTGCAGGATAGCCCCGCTAATATTGAGGGAAACACATCTTGATTTTCATGCCCTTAGATATTGATAATATACTGCAATATTGGAGACTGGTTTTCCTGCTTAAAATATTTAGGATTTTGGGGTCTACAAAATCCAGACAAGAAATGCATATCTTGACAGTGCTGGAAGCCCAGCTGGCAGGCTGAATCCCTTTCAAGCTGCAGGGCTCATGCCATTTGAATAGCGTTATGTATTTGGGACAGCTGGGGAGAAGCTATTGAAAAGTGTTGGAGCAAAATCACACAAAATCAACAGTTGAGTCCCTCTGCAATTTGGCCACTCATCTAGAGGTACTCTGCATTGCTCAAGGAAGCTTGAAACAGAATATTTTTCCAACAAGTGGGTTAAGTACGTTTATAGTAATTGAAGGGAGACAAAGAAATGCTGGTTACCAGGGTTTACATAATGAGTAAAATGGCACGGAGTGAAGGTTAAGGCTAAAGGACAGATGTGGGGGGACCTGGTAGTGCTGGAGAAGACCTTGCCAGTGCCCAGCCCAGCCCAGATGGTCATCATCACACTGCTCTGGAAACCACCACTGCCTTGGACCTATGCCTTGGGATACAAAAGGGAGAAAAAAAGTGGTTACTGGTGTGTGGGCTCAGGCAGTGTCAAAGGAAGCTTGGGATGGTGAGGGAGAGGTATCATTTCTTGAGGTTTAGGTATGGTCTTGGGAAGATGAGCTTTTCTGGTGTCAGTTTTTCTGCCTGAATGGGCACGTTTGTGAAAGAGGGCATTTCTCCTGCTAGGTGCCAGTAATTCAGTTAAAAAATGGGGAATTCGGTCTGCTGTTGCTGATATCAAGGTGAAATTCCATTATTATATTTTAAATGGAGGAGGGATGGAGCCAAAGTTTCTGTATGGTACTGACCATGGATTTAAATGACTTTGTAGTATGAGAGGTTTTAAAAATCTTTTTTCCGCCACAATGATACTTGCATGCTGAGTGAATTGCACTGATGTAGCCGCTGTCAAGATCTTCTTTTATGTTTGATTATATGTAATTCCTAGACTAGCTTATGGTGTACTAGCGGTCAGCTGTGTCTGGTGGCTTCAAAAGGTGAGATCCCTCAACCTGCTTGATCTGCGTGCTGGTCCCACAGGCCAAAGAAAGCATTTTGCTGTGTCTTGGCTTACTGCTTTCTTCACCTCACATGTGCATTGCTCAGAGAAATACATAGTGGGGTGTTGCAACATTGCTAATGTTTGTGTGCTTATTTAGTTCTCTTGAATAGAGTCCCCTGCAGCTACAGTGAGGATGGCTAAGTGATCGGAAAATCAATCTTTCCATTTTATCTGCATTTTTCTGAGTTTAAGGTGAAACGCTGAACATACAATGGTGTTTGACTTTCAAAGATGATGAAGGAAGGATCTCTGTTTAAGAAAATAATTAGCATAAACATACTAAAATATTTTTGGAAGAAAAGCTGAGCATCTTCCTTAGCTGTTTGCTAATGCTGCATATATTACTGATTTTGCTAGGAAATATTTACTACTTTTTTGTAATTGTTTAGGATTGCTAGGTAACCTAGAGTCTTAAACTAGAAAATTTCAAACCAATATCCTACATGCACATTGCAGGGAACTTTACAGCTACACACAAATTTGGACTGTAACGATGTTTTTGGAAAGGATGTTTCTATAACAGACTATGCTAAATTCTCTTGCAAAAGATTGTTGTAGTTTTGGGTACTTCCAGCTGTGGGATACTTCTGACTTCCAGTTTTTGTGACTGGTGTCCATCCGAGTTGATACTAGGATTAGCCTGTAGCGGTGAGGAGAGAAGTGGAAGCTGGAGTAAATGCTGCTGTTGACTTTTGCAGCCAGGCAGCTGACGATGCAGAAAAATTTGCTGCAGAAGGCTGAGGAATTTCATGGGATCTGTTCCTACGTTTCCCTATGGCATCGACACAGAGTTTTGTCAGAGCAAGTACAACAAAACAATGCCTATTGTGTCCATTTCTATACTTCAGCCACAAAACACACTCTGGGACAAAGAGAATTTGTTGTGATATAGTTGTGTTTGGGTCATGATTAGAGTGCTGTAGACCAGCTTAAATGAAAAGCCATAAATTTGAATTTTATCTCATTTTGTGGGTCTAGAGCTGAGCATTATCTAATCAGGTATTGGTTAGCTAAAGTACAAATCGAACAGGGGGTCACCGGACAAGGGGAAAGGTCGAGCTTTTTTGCAGTTTGTCACTGAGGTTTTAGTATTTGCCGGCAGCCCGAATATCCGAGGGGGTCGGGAGGCTGTTGCTTAGTGGTTGTTTGAAAAGGGAAAATTGACTGCTGCTTAATCAACAAAGAAAACAAGCTTTTAAGGGATGGCAGTAATTTTTTTTTAAACAAAAGCAAGGGAACACAAATTTAGTGATTTCATCATGGTTCATGCCCTGCTATGAAAAACAACTGGAACAGTATTTCAAAGAAAGCCTTTGAATAGGTCACCAAAGTACACGCACCTATCTTCGACTAGCTTCTTCCGGAGTACGTTGAATATTCAAATTCAGGCCTTTTACTGATATAGCAAACTCAGTCTTATTAATAGGTGCAATTTCTTCACAGCTTTTTTTATCCTAAACTTTTCTTTCTTTACTAGGAAGGTAAAAACAGAAGCAATAAACTTTAATAAATCAAACTTGTCACAGAAGTAAAAAATTATTGTAGAGCTTTATAAAGCAGCATATAATCTCTTTATAGAGCAGAGTATATTCTCCTGTCATGACAGTGAGGCTGAAAAACATCTCAGATTTGGTAGAGTATGCTTGAGTTGATGCTATTACTTCTAAATGGAAATCAGGAGGCTGTTTGCCTATTTGTTTACCTCTCCTCTAACATTTTTGCTGTGCATCTTTGGGGAAAGGTGGACAACTTCTTAAAAATTGTTTTGGAGTAAAGGCTTCCCACTGATCTATAGGGACTGGAATAGTTGCAATTTTAAATTTCCATTCTGCACTCTTTGGCTTTCTTTTGGCATTTTTAAATTTAAATCTTGGTTTATTTGAGATTCTGGGTTCTAGGTGTACTATCTATCTTCATGAAAATTAAATAATAAGTTACAAAATGTAAAGGTATAGGCTTTTAGAGTTGGCATCTGATGCATAGGCTCCCAAATCCAGCTTGTAGCCTAAACCAATAACTTGGTTTTCTTGCTCATAGTATCCAAAAACTTCCACTGTAATCAATGGGAGTTACTGGCTGATTCCGCTCTACATATTGGTATTATCCCCCATTTTTGGGTCCTCCTTTGGAAAACCTTTGTCAGAATGTTGAAAGCAGTGTCTGTCTCTCTTTTATATAAAAACAGAACAAAAAGTAGCATCTTTTAATAACTGGGCATGGGATTCACACATCTTAAAACTCGTGTTAAGCTATTAATAAACAATGCTGGTGCTGAGGGAAATAACTCCCTTGTAGTCAGTGAAATCTCACTGGAAGAGAGCAGTAGATTGTTGTTTGCAAAAAGGAAAAATGAAAGGAACAAAGACTTCATCACTTCTGAATATTTTTCTTTGGGATATGCAGTTTATCCTAGCGTTAAATAAAAACGCCTTAATTTCCTG